CCCTGCCCTGCGCCCTTCCCGAGCCAAGGCCCGGCCCCTCCCCCCACGCTGTCAGGATCCACAGGGCCTTATCCGGTCTCTGTCACACCCCCTCCTCTTCCTAGGGGCCCGCAGGGGCTGGCACCCCCACTGGGATGAAAGGCGCCCACGCACCAGCTCCTCGTTGTTCAACGTGCTGGAGGCCAAGGCCGAGGTGATGCCCGCCTTCCTGGACTGGACCAGGGACTGGGGAGAGCATGACCGGCACCACCACCCACGGGACCATCACCGGGAGAAGAATTCACAGCCACGGATGGAGCCACGACCACGAACAGGAAACAGGTCACCCACGACAGCCGGCGCAGACCCAGCAAGGAATCAGGAAGCGACAGAGGCTCAGGTTAGAAGGGACGCCGGGAGGTGAGCAGCCCCACGCCCCCGATTCACGCCACAGTGGGACCCCAAGGTGGGGCGAGTTGGAGCGGAGACTCAAGGGGCCCGGTCACCATCACTCACCATGGCCTGAAGTGTCCACGCAGCACATCGGGTAGAAATCAGACTCCATTAGTCCCAGAGAATGCCCAGCCCGCAGCCCCAGGTGCTCTGTGGGCAGCTGCACAGGCTGCACACAGCTTGCAGCAGGCCTGCTCTGCCAGGGCAGTGAGGGGCACAGGTGCTCACCAGGTCGCTCACGAGTGGGATGGGCTTCCTCTTGCGGATGTCCGGCATGCTGTCGATGATGATGAGACCACCCCCCGGGCTGCAAGACACACAGGGACGGGAGGGCCTCGCTCCTCACCCAAATACCACGGCGGCCTGGGCAGGACCCCGGTCCCCGCACAAGATACGCTGAGGCCCTAGCCCACTACCACAGACGATGGCCTTCCCCGGAAACAGGGTTGCTGCAACGCGGTCAGTTAAGATGAGGTCACAGGGAGTAGGGCCGGCCGAAACCAAAGAGTGGGGGTCTCATGAGACGAGCAGAGGACACAGAGACACGCAGAGAACAGGCCACAAGACCCCATGGGGAGAGACTGGAGTGACCGACACAAACCAAGGCATGGCCAGAAATGTTGGGCCAACACCAGGCCAGGAAGGGTTCTCCACACAGATTTCCGAGGGGGTGTGCCCTGCCAAGATCTTGATTTTGGACTTCTGGCCTCCAGAACTGTGAGCGGATGCATCTCTTGTTTTAAGCCACCTGTCTGTGCTACTTTGTTACAGCAGCCTAGGAGATAAGGGCGCCAGGAGGCAACTTTCTCATCTGAGAAATGAGAAGATGAAGCAGGAGCCCATGCTGAATGCAAATGTGAGTTAAGCCGGGTGCGGTGGCTCACACCTGTCATCCCAGCACTTTGGGAATTGGAGGCGAGAGGGTTTCCTGAGCCCAGGGTTCCAAGACCAGCCTGGGCGACTTGGCAAGACCTTGTCTCTACAATAAATAAAAACATTAGCTGGGAGTGTGGTGGCACACGCCTGTCGTTCCAGCTACTTGGAAGGCTGAGGCGGAAGGATTGCCAGAGCCCAGCAGGTGGAGGCTGTGGTGGCCATGAGGGTGCCACTGCCCCCAGCCTGGGCGACAGAGCGAGACTCCGACTCAAAAAGATGTGAGTTAAGGCTGATCTCAACCATATACTAAAGCAGGAATGAAACCTTTCTTTATGCTCGAAATTGGATATAGATGTATAGATTCAGAATCTGCTTGAGAAGGAGAGAATTCAACGCTGACAGAACAGAGGGAACTGGAAACTAAGTCTGTATGATGGCTGCTTGGTGGCTGTGTCCCAGCGGGTGAGCTGAAGGAGCAGCGGTGGCACATGCGGCCGTGGCCTGTCCCCATCCCCGTGATGGGGAGGGGCAGCCATTCCGCAGACGCTTCAGGCGTGGCTCCTCTCTGGAAGATTCCCGCTGGCCCAGAGAGGGGCCGGCCGCCATTCCTGCTGGAGCAGAGCTTTCTGCAGGAACCACCTGAGGCCTGAGGCGTCTAACCCGCCTCCCTCGCCGCTTCCCTGCCTGACGAGAGCGCATCCTTGTAAATCATGCGCACAGGAATTCTCACTCTAGGCCCCGCACCCAGGCTGGCCGGCCAGGGCGCCTCATTGGGGAGCCCCAGCCGTTGTCTCCCTGCCTGCTCGCAAAGGGCTCCAGGGAAGGAGGTCACCGTCCTGCTATTTTAAAACATGAGCATGGTTTAAAAATAGCTTGTACCTCCTCTGAGCTCACCACCCAACACCCCTGAACATCTGAAACTTGAGAGGTTGGAGATGACCACATGCTCTGCCAAAGATCAAGCACAACGGTCCTGTTGAAGAGCCAGTGCTGGCAGAAATAACTGGAGAGATTTAAAAATAGAATTAAAGGCTGGGCTCGGTGGCTCAGCCTGTCATTCCGCGCCTTGGGAGGCTGAGGTGAGTGGATCGCCTGAGCCTGCAGGTTCAAGACCCGCCTGGGCAACTTGGCAAGACCTCATCTCTACAATAAATCAAAAAAATCAGCCAGGCGTGGCAGCGCGCCTGTAATTTCGGCTACTTGGAAGGCTGAGGCGAAAGGATCGCCGGAGCCCAGCAGGTCGAGGCTGCGGTGGCCAGGAGCAGCCACTGCACTCCAGTCTGGGTGACAGAGTGAGACTCCAACTCAAAAAAAAAAAAAAATAGAATTAAAGCCAAAAGTTCACTCTAGGGTTGCAGAAGGGTGAGGGTGCAGGGAATCCCTTCTGCTTTATCTTGCAGTTATTTCTAGGGGGAAATGGCCTGGAGTTGTGGCCTTGGAGTGGCTTGAGCAAAGCACTCTCTGGACTCCGCTTCCCTCTCCGGAATATGGGGGTTGCAGACCTCTGGGTCTGTCGTGTGACGTCTTTGAGTCAATTCAGAGGTTCCCAGCTCTGGCGCCCCTGTGTGACTCAGGCCTCAGGAGGTGGCCCCGTTGTTTGGGTGTGTCACTCCGTCTCCACCTGCAGTTGGCTGAGACTCGGAAGCAAACCCACCTTGGATTCTGGGTTCAAAACTTCCTCCCACCCCCACTTCATACTCACCCGCCCTTGAACCACAGGGATTTGGACATCTCTCCTTCTCCTCGGGCCTACAGGACAGATAGACAGGGTCAGTGTGGCTGCCCCTCCCCTCCACGGGTGGAGTCCACACCCACTTCTGACTCCCCTTTGGACTGGGAGTCAAGAGGCCTGGGTCCCATCCTGGCTGTGTGTCCTTAGGGAGAACATGGCTTTCTCTAGGCTTCCATTTGTCCGTGTGTACAACGGGCCGGAAGAGAGAGAAGCTTTTCTGTCACCCACCTCAAGGGACCCTGGTCTCCTTGTCCTCAAACCTGGGGTTTTACATTTTTTCCTTCCTTCCTTCATTTTGTTTTATTTATTTATTTATTTTATGAGACAGGGTCTGGCTTTGTAGGCCCGTCTGGAGCAAAGTGGGGTGATCATAGCTCACTGCAGCCTCAACCTCCTGGGCTCAAGTGACCCTCCTCCTGCCCGAGCCTCCGGAGTAGCCGGAACTGCAGACACCACAATGCCTGGCTGATCTTTTTTTTGTAGAGATGGGGTCTCGCTGTGTTGCCCGGGCCAATCTTGAATTCCTAACCTCAAGCAGTCTTCCAGCCACAGCCTCCCAAAGTGCTGTGATTACCAGAGTGAGCCACCGCACCTGGCCAACCTGGGGATTTGCAAATATATTTCCAACAAGAGCTCAGGCTCACAAGCCTTGGAATTCTCAAGGGCTAACATTTCTCACATTTGAACTCATAAAATTTCGTTACTCCCTAACTCCCTGCAGCCTCTAACTTGTTTACCTGCTCACGTGCCCTGGGGCCTTTGCCCGAATTGTGCCACCAGCTGGTAT